TATTTAGTTACCCCATAAAATATTCATAGTTTGGTTTACCAAACACGCTAACACATAAACCGGTCATATATTGAGGCAATTCGACAGTGGGACACTCAACCTCAATTAGGATCTGATTTAGTGTTGCATGTCTAGTGTTTCGCTCAGCCCTGCGCATAACTTTCTACTTAAAAATGCAATGACAAGGAATCACAGAATTTCTCTGTTCATTCGGTCTATCCTTTAACATATGAGCTGTGGCGACTTTGACGGGACATATTTGAATGGACAAGGAAAATTTTTACCCCTAGATGTGTCATATTTACGTTTAGTATTTTACCGAGTGTGATGGAATTTTCATTTTATATTAACCTTGGAAATATCGTTTCAAATGGTAATACCATGAGCATTTACAAAATGGGGAGTTTGACTAGGTGGGCTTCTGTCTGCCATTTTTGATGCTGCGCTAAGGTCAAGATTCTGCGTTCAATTCACTTTGATTAAGCAAAAGTAGTCTCCAGAACCAACCATTGTGTCGAACAATGGTAGGTATGGAATACACTCGCTTGGCTTAAAGCGCAATTATTCCTTACTACTTGAGGCTTAATTAGGTCAGTTAGCTTTAAATTCCGCATAAAATGATGACTTAAAAGGTCTACCATCTTTTCAAATTCAAAGGATATCCGCTGCAAATTGCCAGTCTCAAAAAATTACTTACATTGACACAATGATAAAAGAAGGCCTAATGCCCACGTAAACGAAACGAATAGATAGGTCAAAAACAGGAGCATCACACAGCTTCCTTTCCTTTTTAGCGTCTTTCCTTAAGAGTATTCATTCAATTTAGGTAAAAGGGAAATCAAATTGATTAAGCATTATAACCAGGCCACATCTAAATAGCGAGCTACTCTTCTATCCCACCCCACAATTGCAGAAAAGCAATGGGCCTTGCCCTCTACCCTTAGTAGCTTATCGTACTGCTTTGCATACAATATTTTTAAACCCTAGGATTTTCATCGTCATTGAAGAATCACAGACGAAGCAATGACGGGGAGTAGGTTGCAAACAAGTCATGCGAATTTTGTAAGCTGACCGGACTACAATCACTTAGCTTAGTCCCTTCCAACTCTGCTCACCCTAGTGCTTGTTAAAGCCAAAGTCATTCGCTAAGCAGTCTCCATTTTTGTCCCTTTTCCTCAAATCCAATTTGTTTAAATGCCTAAATGCAGCATTTGGTTTTTACGCACTTGAAATTTCGTTAATGATATAGAAATGACTTGAGCGGCCTTTGTTTAATACACAGCTTTTGAATCCTGGCCATCGGCATTGGGAGGGATAAAGGATTAAAGGAAAACTTGTTTTGCCCGGATGTATTAAATTGGTGCCAGTGTTTCTGGACTGAAGTATCGGCGTAGGTAAGTGAAAAAGCTGTCGAAGAACAGAATAAAATAATAAAACGGATAATATTCTTTGGATTAAGGGGATTTATTGCATACCTCATAGACTTCCCTGTTGGCGGATTAAGTCTCAATACTTGGACGGCATATGTATTGCCATTGGCACGGTCCGGAATTCAAGTCACTTAGCAGAAATTCCAAGAAAGCGACTTCAGGGTCCAAGATAACGAAAAGAAGTTTTAGACCTACAAACAAGGCGTTGCATTATCATTCTTTGATCCTAATTTTACTGTCTGCTCTGCTTTTAGTTCCGGATTTGTAGTTTTTGCCTCAGTGGCATTTAATCAGGAAGGCGACTATGATAACATGATCATGGGCTGGAGAATGCTGTGGCCGGGTTCTTTATTTTCATATTACGACTAGTATTTACTCCAGGGAATTTGAGATTTTGGAATTCTGCAGACCTTTTCAGAGGATGCATCTCAGCTCTGGTTCACCAACAATCATATAGCGATATTGTCCAGGCAGTGAGCATAGCTAGAATGCAGTTCAGCTTGTGGGAAATTGCAACACACAGGGACCGATTGGAGGGCTACCTAATGAAGCATTCAAGAAGTGCTACCGTATAAAGCCTTTTCTGCTTGGCAGCCCTTTCTTTTAATCTTGGCGTTTAATGCATCACGATTGCTCCTAACTCCTGCACTGAACAGCCATAAATTTTAGGATGTAGAAAGTGCTAGGAGCTTTCAGTTCTCCATAACTCTGACTATTCCGTAGACGAAATCTGTTGGGCAAAAGGGTTATTTTGAAAGTCGCTGTTCCTACTAGCATTTATATGATAATAGAACCCGAATTTGGAATACCCTACTTTCCTACTCCTCTTTAGTTTGATTTTGAATAAGGACTTGCCAAATTTTTACTCCAATTCAACATTCTAGGCGTAATTTTCCATGGACTAATCCGCTCACAATAGTTATTCATTCTATTTTCCTATTCCACATTTGGCTAATAACTGAAAAATGAGTCCTTTGCACGTTGAAATCCGATTTGTTTACCTCTGCTATCAACGTGTTGCCCCGATAAGACACTTTCGGAGCCGATGGGAGACTATGGACATAGACGAAAAGTCATGAGGAAATTGTGTAGTCAAATAGGCATCTCTTGGAATGCAAGTGGCAAACTTTGGGTCGCTGCCAGTGTCTTGGACTTAAAACACACTAAGATAATACATTTCTGAAGTAAGAGCACATTTCTTCAAAAAGCATTATCCCGTCCAAGATATCATTTATTTGGCTCATGCGCCCATCTTTGGCAGAAAATAACTGTAAATGAATGCGTGAAATTTATCATGGCGCAATCTGACAGGTCGAATCTGAGATACCAAAAAGTCTTTTCTCGGTGTTATCAGCCGAAGATTATATTTCATTAGAGTAACTTATCTTTCCCAAAAATTGCGCTATTCAGGCTTTTTACATATGTGTCTTGTAAAAAATAGATTTCAGACACTATGCGAGGTCTAAAAATTTTTATTTTAAATCCCATATTTTTAGCCTTATAATTAGACCCAGTTTATTGTTTATTGAATCAAACTTCTTTCTACCCGCCAACAATACCTTCTCACTCAGCCGATTCTCTCTTCAAAAAGAATTCCTCGAAGCAAAATTTGTGTCCCTTTAGCATTATATCAGCGTTGTCTGAATCTTTCTAATCACTAGTGACAGTGGAGCAACGAATTTGACTTTCCGATTCAAAAAAAACCACTTAGCTGATTACTTTCCGAAGCTTGACTTCCCTAAAGAAGCTGAACGAGAAGGCAAAACATTGTAATCCGAATTTTCACTTCGAGTGACTGAGTGACAGGACCCCTGAATGTCAACAACTGTGCATCAAAGAGGTGACGCAGATGACTCCGCTTTTTTCTAAGAACATTTATGTTAACTCAAAAGGGAATTGCCTAACGGAGAGCAGGCAGAATAAGTCAAAAATAACCAGTCATGCCTTTACACCTACTTTGATGGTGTCAGTTCATGTGAAAACTGTAATCCAAAGCGCTTAGGCTGTTTTTCCTCCTTCTTTCTTTGGCTTGAATAATTTCTGTACAACCCAGCCATATTTCGAATTCGCCTTTCTTCAGCAAGAGTTCCCACAGAAAGTAAGTTTAAACACAAAATGAGTTGTAAAAAGAACCTGGAAGTGGTGACCTCTACCTATTATATTCCTTCAATTTAAAAAGTTACTCAAATTTACCGGCCCCGAATGAGTGAAAATTAACGAATTGGCTTCATTTTACGGTTTACTGACGAAAAAAAGCCGAATTAAAAAGAATTAGGTTGATTTTAAATTTGTGAGTACTTTACAAACACGGAAGACGCTTCCACCCGAAGCTTGTGAATGTCTCTATTTATTAATGTAGAATCTTTCTTTCTGCCCTCATTGTTAAAAATCAGCAAGCAGCTGTACCTTGTAAATCACTTGCTTCTCATTTATTTTGCCGTTGACTTCATAAGTATGCACTTTATTAGCGTAAAGACCCTTTCATAGTCTCAGGGTCATTCGATGAAAAGGAAGAAAGAGATGGAAGCTGAGACTCCCTGTGTATCACAATGACTTCACCATCGTACAGAGGCCGTGAGGCCATCCACTCTGAAATCCTTGTCTTCTTTAACTTTCTGCTACACATCACAAATATTCAGCAGAACGCATTATAACAAGGTCATAATAGGTTCACATCCCTGTACTTCAAGTATTTAATATGATAATCCGTCAAACGCGAATAATTCCCTATTACTATGTGACAATTGAATAGGCGGAAGTGAGATTAAATGGAAAAGTGAATGTAATTTAGCCATTGTAAAGCCACTTCCAAAGTGGCTCGTTATTTTGCATGCATCTGAGTCGCCTCCAACCAACTAACTGGAGTCAAATATTTCTGAAGAGGCTGCAGGTCACTTTCTCGTTGACATGATGACCCGTTTGACCGTGGGTGAAGGAAATATTTATAGAAAATAATTGTATTCTGAACTGTTGTGTGTACGAACTTGGGTCAAGTCGTGTTGCCTATTCTAATGAATAAAAAGGGATTAAATCACAGTGTGAAAAGACAGAATGTTCGATTTGAATTTGGCCTTACAGATGTTAATAGGGCATTGTTAACCCGGAGGGTCGTAAATTCAACCAAACAATCGAGAGCGCGAGTTCTAAGAAGCTCTAGAATAGTTGGATAGGAGGTGCGTGAGAAAAATTTTCTCATGATTTTAGAACGAGACCATCTAATGGAGATGCTGATATTTGCCAGTAAATTGTGTTTCAATCCTATACACATAAGCACAGCAAGTGCAGATTTCTGGGTAATGTGTGGCTCAGCTGTGTACAAGTGTGAGCCGATTGCTGAGGGTCAAACAGTACCATCTTTGTCAGCTAAACAAAAGAAACGACAATAATTCAGTGACTTTTAAACCTTATATGCTCTGTCACTGATACATGCGAGGCCATTAACTCAGTTATTCTCTCTAGCATTTGGCCACCTACATGGTGTATGTGTAAACTCAGTGTTTCCTGAACCCCTGCCTTGGATATCTGTGGCACCAGAAGGACATTCCTATTTTAACATTCCAGCGTTTCGGTTTAGAAACTGGATTCCTGAGCACCCTAAAATACCAGTCGACATGAAATCACAGCAATCACAGTAAGGTCATGGTCAACCAAATTATTGTTTTTCTGAACATTGGTATCCTTGAGCTCCAGTTGTGCCCCCAGTAGACACATGTCTACATGGCATCCACCTTGGACACTCATGTTTTCAACATTGGAACCCCATTCTGTGAAGTTCCATCTCGTGATTACTTTTATTGAGTCTCAGTAGTATTCTTGATCACATAAACGGACACAAGGTTAGATCACCCAGGCCAATCACTACCAAAGGTTGATGGTCAAACGGCTTAGCCGACTAATATGCACTGCTGTCGATTCCAAATAAGAGTGGCTCGATCTTTCAAAGCATCAGCAAACAACGTTTCCCTAGCGGCGACTTTACCAAGTCTACAGTCTATGAGTTGAATTGAATATGATTCGATTAGCAAATACTATGAAGGGAATTTGGATAAAGTAACCAGCAAAATAGTATTTTTTCGGGACTGTATACACCTTACGAACATCATTGGCAGTGAAGTAGGCAGCCCATGTTATTCTTCCAAAATGAAAAGGTAACAAAATATGAGTGTCGTTGATTTGTGGAGATTTGATTCCTAAACACACTTCCTGGGTGACCTCGACGTACCCATTGTCTCAACTATTTCTATTTTATTACTCTTTGCAGATGCGAATAACATAAAGTATTCTACAGTCATAAAAACAAAATTCTGCAAATTGGGCTGCGAAATTTGTTTATTCTTTGCAAAGCCAAAGCAGCAATCGAACTCTATGGATTAGGCCTTTTATATTATTTCCTATTTTTTAAATGTTCGCCATTCTGGATACTTCAGTGAGGACGTGAATGGCCTTCATTTATCAAGCCGTGGAGCCATATATTCGAGATTTTGGTTTCTACCAAAGGGCAGGGAAAAGGCGTAGTGTCTAATGTCACAATTGCGAGTCTAACCTTACACATACATTAAGTCACAGAAATGTGAATTTGGGGAAGTTAATTAATATACAGCTTAAAATTCGACAATCCACCCCATTATTATCTTTGGTCATGAAGATTACGACCTTACATTCTACTTTATTACTATTCTTGAGTTTACTGGTATAAAATATAAGTAGACAAGGGAGGAGTGAGTTCGTTTGTATACAAATGGGCACCTGGAATCGCCAATGATCTAAGCAATGCAAAGATGGATGCACATTAACCAAGCAGTTCCCTTTTTGCCGGTACCTCACGTGACGGTGCACTTTGACTGCTACCATTACGTTTTTCACTTAAACACAGGGTTCAGACCACAGTTAGTGCATGGCGTTCCTAGTTTAAGTATATGCAGTTGTCAAACACAGCCTGTGTAGCGTTAGCAAATGAACGATTCGATGGTGAATGGAGTAAGACAGGTTTCTTCTGGCGTCAGTTAGTGTAATTAGAAGCAAACGTTCACCCTGCCTTTGCCAAAAAATTTTTTTAGCTGCACTTTTTGCTTTTGAGCATCACGAAAATCAACACAGAGAAACTCCTTTTGGTTAGCGGACAGCACTCAAAGTGAGGCCTTGTATCATGCAAGAAATGCAAGTCACAGTTATGATTCATGTCAAACCATTATTTTGCCCTTATCGGGATATTTATCTTATAATTTATAAGTGTTACTTAAGAAGGGACAAAAAAAAACGTTTTTTGGAGACTGAGCTTTTCCTGTGTAATGGGCTACACATCATCATCGATGGTGAACGTGCAAGTTTCTCCTGCCTTAGTAGTGCTTTGGATTCTGAAGTACAATAGTGTACACACAATTCAGCACATTTGATCATGACAAGCAGGAAGTCGTATTCTGCCTAAGTTCACCATGCAGTCCACAACCTCTACTGTGCATATCGGCAACGAAAATCCCAGCGTACAAGTATTACTGAATGTCCATGTTTATCAAACCCATGGAAAGGTTCGTCTCCTGTCCAACCTCATCGATGGTCGCAATCACTAGGAATAAAATGTTTGACACCCAGATTGGATGCTCAGTAGGCTGGGTGCTGTGGTGCTAGGTTGATAGTTTCATGGGTAAGGACCTCGTACATTGCCTGAGTTCCTCGTCCACAATAACCTCCTTTCTTAATGGCATCCTGTTTCATCAACGCAAAGCCAATCTTTATTGTCATTATTGCATACAACTGCATAAAATAAAAAGTTATTAGTTTTTCTAAATTTTTCATTGTAAAGTTTGGGGAATATAAAGAAATGGGAGGATGTTTGTATCGAAAAATAGGCGATGGGGATGAAAAATGTTTGGTTTGTTACACTAGGAAATAAGATACACCATCCTTACTGCTCTGGCTAAATATGCATTTCTGTAGAGGTTGAAAATTTTCCTGAGGTAACAGTAAACCTAAAGGTTGAAGAGAATGTTTTGACCCTGTACATCATATTTTGGGGCTACAGGCCTGCTCCGCAGACAATACCGCCCATCTTAGCAACGAATGATTGTATATATTTTTCATATTTCAAACTAGATGGATACATTATGAACTGGTGTCCAAATGTATTATCTTTAGTCCCATCGAGTTCCCAATGGGAATAGCTGGGATGCTAAGCCCTTATTGTAAACGCCTTTACTTTACTGGTAATTCCTCTCTCATCGCAATCACATGGTGCCCTGGTCACACCTTCGGTTTCATTGACCTCCCACTCCCTCTTCTTTGCTATAAATGAAATTCTGTCCAGTCTACCTTACTTGATAGCACATTTTAAAACTCTTGGGAGAATTACATTTGTTTGACCCATTTTAGGGCTCTTCAATCATTCATCGCATGGGGTTTTGTTCACTTTGCACTTCAAAATCGTCAACTATTGAGCGAATCGCATGCATATGTATCAGGTAAGAAAGTCATTTGCTGTGGGTGACTAGACCTTTAAAAGGTACCGTTTGAAGGACTATCAAAGTCACATAATCTTCTCTCGGAGTTGCTGTAGATCTTGCTTTCTGGATTTCACCAACTGTCGACTGCAGTAGAATATGATACAAATTATTCGAAATGCTTGTCTCCAGTTTCGCACTTAAGATTTACGAAGAGGCATATCGATCACGTGAGCAAATTTATCAATTGCAAGCCCCCAGTAGTAGCAGAAGACGACGGCAGATATCTGAGTGATACTGATTAAAGGACAATGGGAGGTAATTCTGTGTGAATGCACTCACTGTTGAGATCCAAACATGCCAGAACTGCACAACCTCCGGGATTCCATCAAGTTCATCTCGATAAATCAGTGATTTTAATATCATCCAGCCCTTGGGAGAAAGGCAATATGTGGTCCACATTCATGTTTCGTCTGCTGTTATTAAGCATGCAACTGGTATTGCGGGAACTGAGACACGGGAGTTACGGTGTGGCCAACTTAAAAGTCTCGTCCCATGACTCGATTAAATAACTTGATCGTTTTAAACTAATTAAATTACTGACTAACTTTTATTTACTTCTCAAGAAATTTCCCTTTTTTACCACCCACGTCATGTGTTGCAGCGCAGTGGTGATGGGGTAAGCACACTTAGTCCAATGGAACAACAGGTTCATCGAAGATACGGGATACCAAAACTCAAATGTCACAAAAGGAGGTATGCACTGTGGATTGCAGAAGCTGGATTTGCAGTAAAAGTGCTATTTTCTATTCTACGAGAGTGTGATCAACAATTGCAGCGGCATCTGGCTTAAGTCATTTTACTTCGTCCGTAATTTGACTATGATGATATGCGGCAATGCATTTTTCGGTGGTACCTTTTAAGTACCTCCACAAAATTGATGGCTAAAAGAATTTAAAATTAGGAAAATTGGCAGAGGAGCACGTGGCGACAGGCCTATTAAGGCGGTTTTGTTTGTTCATTTTCTCAAATGCCTTCATTTCTAGTCAAATATTGCATTACCTTGAACTTAACAAAAATTCACTCTCTTTATGACATCATCCAAATCTAAGTGAGAATCGTTGAGGACCTCGCTTAAAGAGTGAAAGACAGACCAAATATATTGAGGATCCATTTTAAGCGTACTTTTCATACGGTTGTAAAGTGGTTGTTTTCTTACTTGTAATATATTTTAAAGTATTGCCATCATGGTCTATAGGCCGCCGCCCTTCTAACCCAGCCTAACGGGCTTTTGATACTTTTTTATAAAACGGAGTCTCAAGCTCCTTTTTGCCTTTGTAAAAGGGGTTGGTGATAAGCCCCTATCCCACCCTCATCCCTTCAATTTTTTTACCAGTTAATTGCACTACCCATAAGTTCGGCTTCTAACTACACCCCAATAAGATAATGAAATGTTTTTTTTGCCGACACAGAACAAAAATCTCAAGGTTGAGGTTGAGTTCTGTCAAGTTCGACCCCTTTGTATTCATTTCATACGAAACTGTCAACTGCCACGTGTGCCACCTGAGGTTGGGGGCTACTGCATTCCATTAGCCTGATGCATGGACACAGCGAGTTGTTTTTCAACTTAATTAGAGGCAAAATATGAACTGCTGCTGGAATAACTTGAGCTGGGGCTATCCTATGTCAGTAGTGTGGCATACAAGGGGACAGTGGTACACTAAATAACATTATTTTACCTTACATATCATAGAATCTAGCTAAGCCTTCAGTCATCCTCCTTTCGAAAGCATTGTCCTTACTTACTTTCTATTCCATTACATTTGACACATTAAACTTGCCGTATGAGGAATTCCAAAGACACTATTATGAGTTATTGACCTATAGCATTCGCTGAAATTGAAGTCCTAAGCTCTTCACTACTAGCCATCCTCTCCGTTTGCAACGGCCAGGACGAAAAAGCAGTTAAATAAAACCTGCAGCTTTACACAGGAAGGTAAAAACATGGTACAAATTTGCTCGATTTAGCAGGCAACTTTACTGAATGAATTTATGTTTATTAAGTTCTTCAAACCTTGTCTTTTAAGTCCACTAAAATTTCCGAAAAAGCAACTGGATTAACAATCAAATTATCCATCGACAAAAGTCTTATGAGGAAGAAGTATAAATC